CGGGCCGGGCCGGGCCCGGCCGGGGGAGAAGCGCCGCGGAGCCGGGGGGCTGGCGGCGGGAGCCCCTCGCTGGAGCAGCGGCGCGGGGCGCCCCTCGCTCGGCACGGGGAGCCCCCCAGGGGCGCCCGCTCGCGTGTGCCCGGGGCGCCAGGGGGCTGCGGGGCCAGCGCCCGGCCTGGCACAGAGCTCCGCAGGGAGGACACGGAGGGCAGTGGCGGGACAGGGCATGGGAAAGAGCAGGGGTAACAGGCTGAGCTGCGTGAGAAACGGGAGCRGATGCAGATAGTGCAGGGAGTGCACGGGGCCCGCAGGTGGCCCACAGGGAGGCACGTGGGAAAGGGCCAAGCACACGGGAAAGGGCCAAGCACACAGATAAGCGGAGCTGCCGGGAGCTCGGGGCCCTCGGGGAAGTGCCGCCCCACCAAGGCCACCACGGCTTCCCTATCAGCCCTGCCAACCAAGGCAAGATTCCGTAGGACAGGACCAGAACTAGCAGGTTGGAGTGCAGCTGCGCTCTTGAGAGGCGGCCATCCTGGGAGCAAGGGAGCAGAGCACCACTGTTCCCCGCACAGCAGTTACCTTGACCYAAGGGAGCCTCGGGTGTGCGAGGAGAGTCAGAGCGGGCGCCGCAGGCTGGGATTAGCGGAACGGGAGTGCTGCACCCAGGGAAAGAGGCGCTCCCAGGAAGGACCTTCTCCATGCAGCCCTCGCAGRGCAGTCCTGCACACACCGGTGAAGGTCTCTGCCTCTCAGCACAGGGAAGGATTGCCATTGCTTCCTTAGCTCTGAGGCTAACCTCACTTTCCTGCTTGTGCAGTTTAAAACAATAAGAGGCCATTAAAATAGGGATGAAAGTAAAGTACATAGAGATGGTAGATGCATGAACAGGTTCATGGGAAAGTCAAGAGGCATTCAGCACATCAGTGTTCTGGTTCTGGAAGAAAGTGGAAGGATTTTCTTATACGACATTGATAGTAAACCAAAGTCTTGTAACAAAAAGATGTAAGGCTTCTTTACCAAAATTAAATTTGTTCCACAAAATTAAATTTGTTCCAGTTCTTTAAACTTATTCCTGGAATATTAAGGAAGTGAATGATCTGAACCACTAGTAAGAGTCTGCTCTTGGAAATGGAAGAAACCCAAAGAATTAGAGGGCTGCCAATGTAACACCAGTGTTTTTGAAAAGCAGTGGAATCTTCCCCAATGCTGTTACAGCAGCCRGCCTCGTAAGAACTGTAGACAAAGTAAGGGGTTAAAGAATCCCATCACTCAAGGATTAGAAGCAAAATACAAATCATTATCAGTCAGAACATCTTCACGGAAAGCAGATCTTTTTGAAGAGACATCTTCCCCTCCCTTGAAAAAGGAAAAAAAAAAAAGAAAAAAAAAAAAAGACTGCAGGTCTGGTTAGCACAAGCAGCTCTGTTACTACAACTTATTTAGAATTCTCTATTTCCAAGGCAGTGACTTAGCACTTTCTACTGGGATTTAAAAGGGACTTGCTGTGGATGGCATTAATAGGGCACACGATGATGTGATGAAGATTAACTCACTGACTGAGATCCCAAGCCAGTGGTTCACGGATATTCTCTAATAGGGTCAGGACTACCAGCATTATGGGTCAAGTGTTGGCCCAGCACCCACATTGTTAGCAAGCAACATTCTTTGATACAATCCTTTGACTAACAAGAAAGCAAAAAAGAGGATACTTCTGAATGGCACTGATTATGAATCATCACCCATTAACACTTTGAAATAAATGGCAGTATCTGAACAAGCAATGGAAGTTGTGTACAAAGTAGATGTGTGCTTACAACTGATTCGGAGAAGAAAAATCAGGTAATATGTCAACACGTGCTCAGAGTGCAGTGCTCGTGGTCAAACAAGTAGATCAGTCACTAGCTGTTTCCACGGTTAATGTTTAGCAGGAACAGGAAAGCAAGCTCACCCTTCCATGCCAGCACTGCTGAGACCAGTAACATTCCAGTAGGAAAGAGAAGCTCTACAGAGGGGAGAGGAATTTTCATATGGTAGGTTTCAAGAGCTTAACCTTGCTCTTTGAAAAGGAGACTGAGCAAATTACTGTGAGCGAATCCTATTGATGTGTAAGAGCCACAATGCTCTCAGTAAWGAGCGGGATCAGGAGCTAGACAAATTGAGCCTTGAAGCAACTGGAGTAGAGCTTAGCAGCAGAGCGGACAGAAATCAAGGCCAGACCACACCACAGCAGCTCCTTTTGACCTCAGTATCTTGGTGCCTGTTCCCCTTTATAATCAGATATTGTCCAACTTGCAGCTGCATAAATCTCTTAACAACTGGAGAGATGCATAGTCCTGTAATTTTAGGGTTGCATATTCAATGAGAGGGGGGCTAAACATACATCTATTAGATAATCTTACTTTTTAGGCTTTAAAAGCATCTTGTGGAGGAGAGGAACTCGTATTTCGCTTTCAGTTTACAGTTTAATGTATTTCCATTTTTAATAGGTAACATTGCAGTTACTTCTTTAAATTGGGAAAAATACCCTTTTTTCATTGCAATACATGCAAGTCAATAATAGAGCTATTAAACAGCTCTATTGTTTGACCTTCATGTAGCATAAACAAAAAAAGGTAGTTAAACTAGGCCAAACTAGCATTTTTTTCCTGCAGTTCTACCTTCCTCCAATGTTTATTATAATAAAGGTATAAAATGCAACTATTTCTTGACTTTGAAGGCAACATTTAATGGGGTAGATATGTTAAGATACTCCGCATTGTAATATTTTTCAGTTTATCTTTGTGTAAAGCAAGTCGGTTTGTTAGCAGGACTGTTCTAAATCAAAAGTGAAGGTATTTGACCTCATTTGTCACATCATCCAAGTTATGTCCAGACATACAGCAGAGGAATCGACCATTAGCAGCTTCCTGGAATTCAAGTCTCCATTGCTGCAAGCTAACATAGGAAGGCAGCCTGTACTTCAGCACACCAGCAATCCTTTATACCCACTGGAAGCCACATGCCATAAGGCCTTCCACGCCAATAGCTGGGAATCAGCACTGATGTAAGGCAGGCTCTGCCACCAGGAGCTCTCTGCTAGGTGCTTCTGTCCTTGACAGCTATTTTGCACTGAATAGGAGGACACCACAACAGCAGAATGACATATTAAGCTACGAAAGCTTGTCTTGCAAAGCAAATGTTTGTCAGTTGACTGATAGGATCAGTAGCATTTRCTAAGCCCTTTGTAGCTGTCTGATATTTTTTTTTCAGTTAGGTTCTGTTCTTTTCCTCACTTAACTGCATATCTTGTTTCCCAGCATCTGTTTTCTTCTAGGTAGCAATTCAGTTAACACTAAAAAAACCTTCTTTCTGGTACCTTTACCTCAGATAAAAGTATCCATATCAAATGGCTAAGAAAAATGAGTTGAAACATCTATTAAAAATTAGCTCTCCAGAATGATCAGCTATGGGGAATTCTTCCCTCAAAACTATGAAGCATTCTGCAGACAAGACTAACACTAGCTAAAATTCATGCTGTACTGAATGATCCTCTTGGCTACAAACAAAAGCTCTTTCTGTTGTTTTAAACAAGTATATATTAAGTTTCTACAAAACTTATATTTTATCAGACTATAAAAATACAAACTACAGAAATTAAAAGGAATTAGGTTCCAACTACCTTGATGAAAATAAACCTCATCTTGGAATTTGCCAGGAAATCCATGGAATGGAAGTCAACTGTCATGCAGAGGTTGGTTGAAAACCCTCCTTCCCCTTTCTTTAAAGACCCTAGAAAAAAATACACGTGTAAATTTACAGTCCTGTATTTATCAGCTGTACTCTCAAAATCCGGGCAG